CGCGCGCGTTTCCCCGAAAGCTTTCCCTGCACATGAAGCAGCAGTGGGTCGCGTTCGTCGTCGTGCGTGTGCTCTCGCCTCGCAGGCGCCCGGTGCAGGATATGCTGCAAATTGCGCGCCGGACTCGAGCCGGGTAGCTCCATCTGCCTCGCTTCCGGAGGCGGCGGACGGTGCCAAGACGAACATTATACTGAACACTCTCCAACAGCCGGCCGCGACGCAGAGAAGGTTCGCGCTGCGTGTGCGCGACACGCGCACGCCGCCAGGTGAAGGCTGCAGACGCTAGACACACTCGGAGTTAGGACGCGGCCGTCTCCACTTCGCCCGCGGTTGTGGCGCATACGCCCGCCCGCTTTTTCGAGGCGGGGGGCGGCCGGACAGCGGCACACACAGCTCAATCTGACGCGTGTCTCTGGCTGCTGTAGACTTATGTCTTTTCGATACGTCATCGCCGCGCCGCGGTACTTCTGTTTCTCTCTTGGTACGGAACCAGGCGCGGCGTCCGGCTCGACACACAGCTTACCCCCGCTTTGTGTGTTTTTGCGTGCGGATCAGCATCAACCTAGCAACCGCGCGCCAGGCAGGTGCGGCCTGCCCTGTTTCCAAACTTTGGTTCGCGAGGCGCAGGTCCTTGCTCCCCAGCCTCCTAAACTTCAGGGCGGCGAGGGCCGCAAGAGAGCCTTTTGCTAAGCGTGGATGCTGATACAAGCTGCAGAACCGACAAAGCGGTGAGACGACAAACAGAACGAGAACACAGCCACACGCAGGTTAACGTCGCAAGAACGCGTGACGAAACAGCGCGCGCGCGGGCGGGGACGTAAATATGTTGTGGGGACTGTCGGAGATGGTGAGAGCCGGGATGTGTTGCCAAACGCACGTGCCAAGGTGGTGGCATGTTGGTCCGTGGTTTGGGTTTGTAGATAAGGAATTCGCTATTTCGCCCGCCCCCACGAATGTTTGTAGATAAAGGATGCGCCCAACTTGGAAAGAGTCCCCCACTCCCGAAGACGATCAGGGACGCAGTACATACACCGAAACTCTTCGCGCAGGTGGCCGAGTCCAAAACCCAGTGACCGCGCGCTCGGCGTCATGTTGCTCCCCTTCCCTCCCCAGTTCCGCGGCTGTACATCCCCCTGCTGCGGCGGAAAGAGCCCGCGCGGCGGCGCGCGCGTGCGCCGTCGCGACCCGCTTCGCACGCGCGGCCCGAGGAGAGGCGGTGCGACGTGGGACAGGCGCTGTGCGAGCAGCCACGCTTCCTGCGTTGTATGCCAAAGATCGCAGTTAGACAGAACCTTCTGTCTCGGGCCTCGGAGCTACGTCGCGGCGGTGCGCGCGGGGGGGGCGGCGGTTTCCCATATAGCAGATGTGTTCCGCGCGCGATATACGCAGGCTTTCTATCGCGCTTTGCTATGAATAGTTAAATCGCCATGCATTAAACAGTCACCGCTGTTTCGACTTAGTGCAACCACAATGATCGTTCTAGTATTTGAGTAACTGCGTGCGGAAATACCTACGGGTCGTCGGCTGCAGCTAGATGTGCCCTGTCCTGCCTGTATCGGAAGGTTACGGGACAGTCTCGACTGCCATCAAGGAAAGAACGAGAACGCTCGTCCACCAGGCCTGTTCCAACTCGCGTGACGCGAGAGAACGGGCCGCTGCGGGTAACCTATATCCATGGGTAGAGTAGGAGGCTGGCACTCATCGCTCTCGCCCAACGATTAAAAAGGACTATAACAAATCACTAACAATTGTTCAAAGCCTTCCAAAAAGGCCCATTATGCCAATATTGCAATCCGTAAAAATAAACCAGTCGACCCTATCATCGGCAGCTGCCACCTTGGACAATAAAAAAAAGCAAATTCCTTTAATTTTCAAGATTTCGAGAAATGCAAGGAAAATCTATCTGAAGATGTGGGGATTATCCCAGAAATCAAAGGAGAGAGAATAATAAAGATAATCATATAGATCTGTATGGGTTTGGGAACCTTAACAGATGGATCTTTTTTATCAACGGGAAACTAGATTATGACCTCCTATCCAACAGACGCAAGAAAATGGTAAAAGTCGCACCACCGTTCTCGGCCGCGCGCGCGCCCTCTCTCTTTTAACATTCTCCTTTGCTTTCATGTGGTGCTCTGTCCACTTACACCGACGGCGCCGGTCTACGTTTAATGTTTAGGTGAAACACTACGCACGCTGCTTGCGCCGGCTCGTTTCCTTCCAAAAAATGGGATTCTCCAACCTTACCAACAACACACAGTGCGGCGCCCAAAAAAAAACCGAAACACCACCCACCCCCCCCGCGCGCCGCGCCCCGGACAACACCCCCTCTCAACAACACAACGGAGGAGGAGGAAAAGAGAGAGATTGTCAATTCACTACCCTGGAAGTAATACAGTTGTTAAAGTTGGAAGCAGCCTGTGGACAGCCGTTCTTCGCTTGGATGTCAGTCGCCGAAAACCTTCTACAGAGCAGGCACATCTAGCTGGGCGCACGGACGCGTATACTTTCCGCACGCCGTGTTCTCAAGACATATTTTTTTAACTTTTTCTACATGGTCGCGCGCCATAAATCCTTATATGCCGCTCCCGGTAACACACTTGAACGCAACTTGCTCCTTCTTACACTCACCCCTACTTTAGTGGGAACAATGAGTCTGGCGTCTTTGATGCACAGAGGAATACAACGCAGATCATCCTTCTGGCTGGCAGCCTTGACCGGTAATTGCTTTTATCCAAGTCAATGCGGAAACCAAAAAAAATGCACTCACAAGGTGGTTGGAGGGGAAGCGGAATGAGCAACTTTTACAGCCTTTTTGGCGACGGTGGGGGCGCGCGCGAACTCCGGTCTCCACAAGACAGCCTACAGTGGGCAAGTGTCACTGTTACTCGTCTTTTTCTCGTTCTTTTGTGTCTCACGCTGCGCCTCCCCTGAAGCTCTCTTGCGCCCCCCAGGGGAAGCGCGCCTCACACTTTGAAAACCGCTGCGCTAGTGTATTGTCAAAGGGGGAGCTTCGTTGCGGGGAAATTATACAGATGGCTAGTCCGCCCCTGAAAATGTCTATGCAAACGTTATTATTAATAATAATTTTTTTTAATAAAATATTTTTAAAAAAAATCAATTTTTTTTTATAATTTTTATTTTTTTTATTTTCCATTTTTATTTTATAATCATCTCGCGACCCCCCACTCGGGACTTTGGGAACCCCTGTCAGAAAGCATGAACACAGTTATAAAGAACAGGCAGGCACAAAAATTAAGAGCAACAAGGGGATACTTGTTAAATGAATGCTTAAAAGGCTTAATGATGGCCACTCACAACCAAAGTAAGTGCTAAAGAGACCATGCTTTCACGAATACATTTAAGGTAGAATGTTTTTGGTAAGATGAACAAATAGTTCATGAAGCACACTAATTCATACATCAACTGTAATAGTTCATATTTGATTCAATAAGTCAGTCAGTTATCTTTGATATTAAGGTTTTGGCAGCTGGGGTCATGTAGCTACACAAGCATTTAATGCTACCACTATAGATCTCTTTCTTTTGTTAAGGCTTTGCTGGCAAGCAAAGTGGATTACAACTCTGAGCCTTTCATACGCACTCAGAGATGAAGAGATGAAGGGCTAACGGTGGACCCTGCTGCTGCTCTTACACTTCATGCTGACCCTGCCTGGATGCTGAGTGAATGCAGTTGTAGGTATTGGCTATGTTTTTACAGGATTTTTTTTAATGTATTTTTATAAAAGAGACATGGGAAACAGCCCTGGGACGAGTGTGGAGGAACTACAAGCTTGTGAGAGTCATCAGTGGTACAGGAAATTCATGACTGAGTGCCCATCTGGAGTTCTCACCTATTACGAGTTTAAACAGTTCTTCGGCCTGAGGAATCTGTCGGAAGCGTCAAATGCCTACGTTTTGACCATGTTCTCAACGTTTGATATGAACGGTGTAAGTTCATTTATACTCCTCTAGCAGGTTAATATTATACATTTGAATGTTATCAGCAAAGATGAGTGTCACCATTAGTTGCTTCTCATCTTTACTGAATATCAGTGGTTGTTAAATGTTTTAAACGGTTTATTTCACATTGCATGTCATTTTTTTTAAAGTAGATTGCTTATGATAATGCTGCTAATATAATTAATGCAAATCATACTCTCACTATGTAAATAATTTTGATAATCTGCTATTATGAAGAATTAAGATTAAAATGATCTTCATAATCCTCAGCAAAGAACCAATGAAACAAAAACGAAGAATATATACAATCCTTTACATGCACTTTATTTTGACCATCTATTGTTACTCTATGTCCTGCTTTAATGCAGAGACACTGGTTTGTTGTTATTTTCATTTAGTTTTAAAACCGTGCAGTTTTCATGTATGCCTGTCTGTGCTTTCCTTAGTGTGTTTCTGCTAACATAAATAATTTAGAAGAACTTAGTCTTTTACTGAGGGGGCTTATCCCATCAATGCTGCTTACTGACCTGCAACTTTAATCGAGAAGGATCAAACCTCTTCTTCATGCTGTTGTTGATTAGTGACTCAGCGTATTACATTAATGACATTTGAAAAATAGGTGGGGAACAGGAGTTTATTCCACTATTTGCATTGTTGTCTTTAAAATGTCAGGAGTATACCATGATGAGTACTGCTCTGGTAATGACAATCTTCACAATGTGCTTTTCTTTCGTAGGATGGCTACATTGATTTCATGGAGTATGTGGCCGCTCTGAGTCTGGTGCTAAAGGGAGGCGTGCAGCAGAAGCTCCGTTGGTACTTCAAACTGTATGATGTAGATAGGAGTGGCTACATCGACCAAGAGGAGCTACTTCAGATAATTAAGGTGCGAAAGAGACTTTATGTTAAAGCATGATGCAGGGCTTAGTGAAAGACTTAGGGAAATCCCAAACACTGTCCTGAAACAACCTGCTTAGACCACTGGGGTCCAAATGAGAAACAAGGCCGAGAAATCCCCTCCTCAGGCTTATAGGAGCGTGGGATCTACTGTGAGTTAGGTTCAGAGGCACATGGATGACACTTGGCTGACATCTACTGGTTGACAAAAACATTAAATGTGTCAGTTTATGGCATGTTCATGATCATAACATGACAAAAAAATACTATGATTCCTGTATGAAGCACTTGCAAATGTGTGGCCTATTTGAATCTAATGTACTTGCAGGATTATTGCTGTTATGAGTTTGTATCTCTTAGGTTGATTGCATGTACTGTGTGTTGCTTTGGATAAAAGCATTCGCTAATTTAAATGTAATGTTCAGTAATGATTTCCTTTCTTTGTGTTGTGTTCAGTCCATCCGTGCAATCAATGGCAGTACCAGCGAGATTTCAGCAGAGGACTTTGCCAACATGGTGTTTGAAAAGATTGACGTCGATGGAGATGGTAAGACCGGAGGGAGAAATCTTCAGACATTCGATAATACCTGAATATTGGGATACAGCTGGATAACAAATATTTAGCAAAGGATTTACTATTTATGAATCCAGGTGACAACCAGCATTAAATGATTGTGCTTAGTGTTTGTATGTGTTTATTCTACAGGTGAACTGTCCTATGATGAGTTCATGGAGGGGATTCAGAATGACGAAATGCTGCTGACGACACTAACAGAGAGTTTGGACCTCACACATATTGTCAGCAAAATTCAAGAAGAGATGAGAGCCAACACCTGATACCTCTATCTTTATTGACACTGAAATAAACATTTTTGTATAACCGTTCCACAGCTGAAGAGGTGGATAATCCATAAATCATCATCAGGATGAAAGGATGTGGACCAATCTCTGGGTCACTGTCAAAGAACAGCATTTAACTCCTCTGAGTTTACTAACTCAGACTAACAAAGACAAATATTAATGTTGTATTCAATGACACACTTAAAGGTATTCTACTGCATAGTTTATAATGCTTTCAACATGCACCTTAAACATAAATATTGTGACAATGCTTTACAGTCAAAATAATTTATATGCTGCAATAAAATGTAATTTTGTCTTCTGAAATAGTCAGACAAATCATAAAGACAGATTAATACCTTAACTCTTTGTTGGACTCTAGCTGAAGTATAAAACTACATGATTTCAGTCCAATCTCCATAAAGTGCCATTATTGAATTTATGTTGTAGCTATTGCATGAATTTTTACAATACATAAGCTACGCGTTCAGTTGAATGTGTTTAGGTGAAACCTACAGGTTCCTTAATTGTAGTGTTTCACATAATGTGCAGTAGAGCCACCTAGATCTCCCTACATCTGAGACAGTAGATGATGCATATTTGAGATTAAACAAGTACCTTATACTACCTTTCTCAAAATGGTGTGATTTTTTACGGAATCCTTTTTTATTTGATATTTCACTGTGTGTTATTATAGGGACAACCAGGATGTGTGCATTTCCAGTTATTTCAAGCAAACTGTAAGCAAAAAGCTAACAAAACGTTCTGTTTGTTCTTCAGTTGTCGAGTTAACTGTTAATGCATTAGACAGCCTGTAGTCTGAATTAAGCTAAATGACAGTTCCACATTAATGAGTTTTTCATGATATAAGTTGTTGGCTATAGCGTTTATGTTTAAAAATAAAAATACCTTAGTTAGATATATGCACATTTATAAAGTGAAATGAGAGAACGTGCAAAAAGGACCTTTGTGTGACCAAATAAAAGTTGCGAGGCAAAAATGATATCCAGCATCAATGCCATAGACATCTCAGTATTTAATAATGTTTTAGTTTGAATTTACATGTTTTGTCTAATGTCTGTGTGTCTGTGTGTTTTACATTCTGACTTATTATCACTTACTGACACAGATGGACTGTCTACATTAAAACTTAAAGCCAAGTCATGTTTTTGATCTCTCAATGCGGAGGGAAAAAGGAGTTGGCCACAAAAATGCAAAAAAAAGGAGCAACATCTTATAAAACGAATCTAAGGATGCTAAATTCATAATCTGAACACTTCCATACACTCCCCTTTATGTCAAATATATTCTGGTATAACCCCTGGGGATTCCTTTATCCTTTGTTAGGGGACAGTGTCTGGCTACTTGGAACCATAACAAACCAACACACCCATCAAGAAAAGACTCGGACTGACCATCCATCCCAGAATGAAAAAGAGATCAATGATCTCAATGGGATTCACCTGCATAAATAAAGGTTTGAAATTAAATTAAATGAATGCAAATAATTAGCACTACACACACATGCGCGACAGGCTCATTATGGATATTAATCCGAAACCAAGAAACCCGAAGTCAAATATGCGCAGCTGGATGTCGGACACACGCTCTCAAAGCCATGAGTAGTTTCAGGGTGTGGTTTATTATTGCCGGGCTGTTTTGTCTACTATTAGTGATAGGATCATCGCCAACCGTCCATTTGTGCCAATGCACAGTGAATTGGCTGTTATTTTCAATGGAAACTGCCTAATCTGTCTGCCAGCTGAGTCATAAATATCGTCTGCTAGTGCGCAATGCTGACCAATTTATACGCAATCTAATGTATGACCAATAAATCCTGAATTACAGTAGTAGTTCCTTCCTTCACAAACTCCTTAAAACAAATAAAATACAATTTCAGGAAAATATAAAACACCAGTGGAGAAAATAACAAACAAGAGGGTAAATAAACCCTGAATGAGCAATTTAAAATAGTTTTTACAAAACAAATGTTCAGCATTTTAAACCAAAAAAATAAATTATAAGAACATGTCCGTGTGTCAGATTGAGCCTTACAAAAGCACTTATTATTATATTCATTGCATTAGGATCATTTATAATTATTCTTGATTAGGTAGTTTATCTACATGTCAGATTTATAACTCATGATAATGTTATGAGGTGAAGTTGGCTTACAGTGAAATGCTCAGATGGAAAATTAAAGTGTGTGTCCACGTGCTTCAGGAACAGCTTTCCCCTCAGCTGCTCAGAAAAGGTGTGTCGCCGGCGTGACGTCACGGCTGTACCTGAGTTTCGGTGAGGAAAGGGGAAGGGCCGAGCCCGAGTGAACAACACCAGAGTTCCCCGGGAACAATTTGTTGTTATTCTCTCACACCTTCGTCCAAATGATTATCTATTAACATTTCCTTCGGGTGAATCTGCGACACTTCGGGTTTTTGCAGAGGAAACGCGGTTTAATCTCCAGCTGCTGGTGAGCAGGCCAAGAACAGACCTCTCCAACTTCCTGGTTCACCACAGGTATGTGTCGTTCTTTAGTATCGTGTTTGGTCGCTTTTTAACCTGAATTATTTTTAATTGAATCTCACGTTTATAGATACTCTGAACTATTAAACACGGGGTGTAATCTCCGAGCAGAGCTAGTTATATGACAAACAAGTGCTTATATAATCGATAGTATCCCGACTTTCAAAGTGTGCCTGTTTAAAAATGTTTGGATAACCCGGACGCGCAGGATTTCTGGGAACACTGCTGCACCATTGTTAGTCACTGAGAGTGTTTAAACTCTCTGGCTATTGGGGAGATGATTCACAGTAAAATCCACAGTGGACTGATCGGTGTGTGTTGTCTTGTCTTTCAGGATGTCGGTCACCCCTCGACGTGTCCGCCTGAAGCCCTGGCTGGTGTCTCAGGTGTCCAGCGGGCGATACCCGGGGCTGGTGTGGATTGAGCGCGAGGCCATGCGCTTCAAGATCCCATGGAAACACGCGACACGACATACACCGCAGCACGAGGACGAGGACACCATATTTAAGGTTAACCTAAACTTAACAGATGTCATGGTTGAGCTAAAAGAGGAATGAATGTAGGCCATGAAACGAAGTGTTTGTTTACCCCAAGGCAGAGCTTGTACATGTTGGCACTGCTGCACGGGCAGGGAACTGGGTCCTCTCTTTTTAAATCGACATTTTTTTTGCAAGGTTATTAAATACGCTTTTACAAGTTAAAAAAAGACAAAACTATTTGCATGTAACATCTGGGTTTGCGAGTTGCATCACAAGGCCTCCCAGTTCCACAAAATGACAGTTATTTAATCATGGACCTGCTTTGCCTATGAAAGCGTTGCTTCTTATTTGTCCCTTTTCACCTGATAAACAATTTGAGAAAGTGAACATTTGCTATATCGGTGTAACTTGAGACATACTAAACCCTTTTTGTACTGAGCACATTAATTGGGTGATATTGTCATGAGAAAGGAAACATTTAGGGATGACAAATCTCTTGTATTTTCTACATATTTTGCTATATATATTGCTATAAGGGTGGTGGTGGCGAAGTCCATATAGGGACTTGACTTGGCATGGCAACTGGAACGTCACCAGTTCAAGTCCCGGAAAGACCAAGTGCTACCGAGGTGTCCCTGAGCAATGCACCGTTCCCTACACTGCTCCACGGGCGCCGTACATAATGGCAGCCCACTGCTCCTAACACTAGGATGGGTCAAATGCAGAGAAACCGTTTCGTTACATAGTACCTGTGCTACGTAATGACAATAAGTTGAATCTTTAATCTTCTTCAATTATATATGTAAATGCTTTTCATGGATACCCCACAAAGTGCAACTACCTTTGAGAAAGACAGTACAAATATGTGGATTCAGTGCAGGAATGTAAAACTGGACTCTGATATTGATACCTCCGTTGTGTTTAAATGTTCCTCCAGGCTTGGGCTGTGGAGACGGGGAAGTTCCAAGAGGGCGTTGATGAACCTGATCCTGCCAAGTGGAAAGCCCAGCTTCGATGTGCTCTGAACAAAAGCAGAGAGTTCCACCTAGTCTACGATGGCACCAAAGAGGTCCCCATGAATCCTCTGAAGATTTATGATGTGTGCGACATTCCACAGCCCCTCAGTAACCAAGGTAAACAAGAGCTGCTTAAATATGAGTGATTAATTTGTCCTCCTTAATTGGCATTTTTCTTTTGAATTTCAATTGATTTTGTAATTTTTACCCCACAGGTTCCTCAGATGCTGGTTCTTGGACTCCACATGATGATGATGGTGGTGACGAAGATATTCCAGATACACCAGAGTCTCTCCCTCCGTACCCATCCAATGGTGAATATCTTCTCCCCATACTTAATGCATTTTCTCCCCTTAATTTCCTAGCAGTATATCAAAAACCCTCTTTTCTATGATCTCCTCATTTAGGTACCAGTCCCCCTCCTCTCATTATGTGGTCTCCTATGAGCTCTGGATCCCCCATACAACCTTCCAGTTGTCCCCCTTCAAATGAGGTCTGGCCCAAAGAGGAGCCTGTTAAAATCTGGCCTAAAGAGGAGCCCGTGGATGTGGAGATGCACCCCACACCCCTGAGTGAAATGCCCCATGCTCCTCTGCCTGACGTCCCAATGCATCCCCCTTCTCTACCTGAAGTATTCTTCGCCTCTCCAGAGACATGGATCAGTTCCCTCCCGAGTAAGCATGCACTTCTTCTATTGAGGAAATCACTGCACCTCATAAAAGGAATGAATTTGTTTCTCTTTCCCAAACAGATTTTGTATTTTAAGCTACTGTAGCTCAACCTGGTCCATGCATTTCCTAACCTAGGGCATTGTAGTCTTTTTAAAAATTAAACAATACCAAAAAACAATCACTTGGGATTTTGTGAGTATTAACATAACAGGTATGATGGCACATGTCAGCCAGCGAACTATGTGTCGTATTGTTATTGTTATATTTGTGTTTTTAGAGAACATTGAAAGTCTATGGCATAGATAGATGAATAAGCAGCAGGGCCAATACTTGTTAGAAGGATCATTATAAGTAAAAGTTTGAATTAAAAAAGAGATGTCATACATGGGTTTAAAATAAGTCTGGATTTGTCTCTGTACCAGTGACAGACCTGGAGGTGCAGTTCCTGTACAGAGGGAAGGAGATGTGTCCCACAGGGAACATCAGTAACCCTCAGGGCTGCAGGCTGTTCTACGGAGACCTCGGCCCCATGGTCAACCAGGAGGAGCTGTTCGGGCCGGTGAACCTGGAACAGCTACGCTTTCCGACCACGGAGCACATTGCCAACGAGAAGCAGAGGATTTTCACTAACCGCCTGCTGGATGTGATGGACAGAGGCCTCATCCTGGAGGTCAGCGGTCACGACATCTATGCAGTGCGTCTCTGCCAGTGCAAGGTGTACTGGTCCGGTCCCTGTGCTCCAAACCCTGCTGCACCAAATCTCATAGAGCGCCAGAGAAAGATCAAACTCTTTTGCCTGGAGTCTTTTCTCAGTGGTAAGAAAAACTCACCTTTACCATGCAGATCTGATTGAAGTCATGGTCTTCGCTCTTTTTAAAAATGTTATATTCTTTGATCCACAAATCTAATCCTAATAAATGTGTCTCCATGGTGTTCAGGAGTAATCGCCCACCAGCGTGGCCAGACACCAATCCCTCCTCTATTTGAAATCAACCTATGTTTTGGAGAGGAGTGGCCTGATGGCAGGCCCAAAGAGAGAAAACTTATCATGGTTCAGGTGAGAAATGTTGTTCAAATATGTGTGCTCATTGCAGGACAATACAGGCCAGTGATCAGCAGTCTACACCTCATACTTGTGCATGAACAAACTTCATCTCTGTTTAAAAGCAGTTGAAATAATAGTTTACTCAAAAATAATATAAATCTGCAAAAAAGTATATCTGTGCTTAAATATTTAGCATGAAAATGGTTTTAGAAAAGACCCAGAAAAATATATCCTCATGTAACCCTCCTGTTGTCTTCGGGTCAAATCTGGCCGATTTACTACTTTCATGAATCATAACTTTTTAGTTTTTTTTAATTATTCGATTGCATTAAGGCTTTTATGATATCCTTCACAGTAGACATTTGAACATATACAATTGCTGATCACCACTTTCATTGAATTTTGGATGATGGACTTTGTAACACCCATGGTTTTCCCGGTCAAAAATTACCGCCATAAAGAAAAGGAATTAGTAACCACCCGGATCACACACACACACACACACACACACTCTCTCTCTCTCTCTCTCACTCACTCACTCACNAGCCGCGCCATGTGTAAATGTGACCTGAGCGAAGGCTCGCAGGCAGGTTAGCTGCTGCGCACGGGTAATAGGTTTTGTTTACCTGAGTGCAGTCTTGCAGGCAACTGCAAGACTGCACTCAGGTAAACAAAACCTATTACCCGTGCGCAGCAGCTAACCTGCCTGCGAGCCTTCGCTCAGGTCACATTTACACATGGCGCGGCTGAAGCCCGCTAGCACTATTAGCACTAGCAGTATCGCTAGCACAGTTTTAGATTCAATAGCCGCATTCACACCACACGACTTTCCCTGGTACTTTGGTTCTTTAGTTCCGTTAGTACCAATAATGTCGCGTTCACACCGCCGGGACTACTCAGTGCCGGGAACTCTTTTTGCCATTTTCAGTCCCTGCTAGAGAGGTGGTACGAACCTGGTGATAAAAGAGTGCCAATTTCTATTCTATTTCTATTGGCTGGGTGAACTGCAAACCACGCCCCGTTAGACTCAGATTTTTTTTTGTTAGGCAGCCTATTTTTTCCTCGCTACAAAACCACATCCACTCCTGAGCGAGTACTTTTTTTGTACTTTAAAGCAGTTATGACCACACCTACTACAACACCGGAGCGGTGGAATGATGAGGATAACACTGATCGACTTCAGCCATCCTACGGCGATACATGGCTATAGTGTGTGCCTTTCGTCGTCCAATCCTTTTCCGAAAGCCACCTTTTAACCGCCTGCGATTCTGAACCAGCATTGCACTTACAGCATCCGACGAGTGGGTCAAATCCCTAGTTGGCTGCAATAACCCAGTTACAAAGCTGTATAGCATGAGCACAAAGACAACAATCATGTCTGAGGTCGGAAAGTAAACAAACGCCTCATGTACAGCGGGTAGGCTTTATACCCCCTCCCCCGTATAGTTCTTCTTCTCTCGTTTTTTTTTGTACTCGCCGTGAAGTGGTTTTGCAGCCTGCCAGTAAACCCAGAGAAGAAGAAGACGAAGTGACGTCAGCGTAATCTTGCCTCAGGGAAAGTACTGCGGTGTGAATGCGATTGGCACTAGCCCCCTGGCGGATTCAGTGCCGTGGTACTTTAGTGCCAGCACTAAAGTACGGCAAGTCCTGCGGTGTGAAAGCGGCTATTGAGGCCCGCCCCCTACACCCTACCCCTACACCCTACCCCTCCGTTTGCGCGTTCGTGCGGAGGGTCCGCCATATTAAGTGCTGTTCCAAACCAACGAGTGTGGAGGGGGAGTGGGCTATCAAGCCCTCAAACAGGGTTATGGCTAGAAAGGATCCGTCTAGTGTAAATATGACGTCACGTTCTCGTTGTAACTCTCGTTGTAATCGGAGTGGCTCGGAAACACATCTACAGCAGTAACATGATGCAACATACACATTAATGCAGCAGCAATATTAATAGAGAAACATCAGACATAATAGTAAATCACTGAAAGGGAACATTTTATTGCACCAGGAGCTATCTTGGGACTTTTACTGCGACAACGTTGACTTGCCTGCGAATAGAAAATAAACCATAGTGTTGGTGATCTACAGCAGGGGTTCCCCGAGTGGGGGTCGCGAGATGATTACAAAATAAAAATGAAAAAAAATAATAATAATAAAAAAAAATTGATTCATTTGTTTTATAATTTTTATTTTATTTATTATTATTAATAATAACGTTTGCATAGACATTTTCAGGGGCGGACTAGCCATCTGTATAATTTCCCCGCTACAAGGCTCCCCCTTTGACAATCNTCATATTAATAATACATATGAATTATAATTTAATAATTATGTTGGTCTTCAAGTTGGCCCGTTGTTTTTATTCCAATCATGAGTTTTTTTTAATAATGATGCACTTCATAGTGCCAGTCAATCGTTTTGTATTTCTTGTCTTGGCTACAGTGTTTGTGTGACGTCTGCCTGTCGCACCTAAACCTCAGTTGTCCTGGAGACGATCAGACCGGTCCATCCAGTTTCTCTGTCCTCCTAGGGATTCATCAGGCCGACTGATGCCCGCTGAAATGTCAAGAATGTGCTGACAAAGGCCTTTCACGGTTCACAGTGAACCTGTACTTCACACTTCACAGTGCTGAACACGCGGTAAAGCTCGGCTCTACCAGGAAATGCAGGCAGAAGCAGTTCTGCGTATCATCAGCTCTTTTCTAAAGTTCAATTAATGACTTCAGTTATTTATTGCTTTTATTATTTTAATTTCATTGAATCTAATATAGCCACTTTTCACAGTTTATATGTTATCATGCGTATTGAGAACTGGCCGTGTTTTGGTAGCAGTCAGTGCTAACACCTGGACCATTACAGCATTTCTACAGATCCACTTCCATTTTCCTCCCCTTTGTTCCCCTGTAGGCTACTTCTAGCCTCAAATGAAACAGGCCCTGACTTGTGCATTAGATACAAGACAAGTAGTGAAACAGCTGACGTAATTTGTAAACAGACAATAAAATAAAAGGAAATGGAGATCGAAAGATCTTACATATGTTGCATTCCATTGTGATGAGAACTATGATGTTGCTAATGGAAATGAAACTGAAGATAACATCAGAACCAGATGTATTGTGTGTAAGAAAATTGAGTTTCAACATCACAGATCTGTGAAGCCAGATTTCATTTTTGTCAACAGGTTTTCTTCAGTTGAGTTCACAGGTCTTGCTTCTGTGATACATTTGTCAATTAGTAACTGATAATATATTTTATTACATTGTTTTTATCTAAATTAATATATTACTATCAAACTACTTCAGCTCTGCATGTGTATTACCTTTGTATATAATGCAACACTGTATGATCTGTCCAGAGAAAGCAAATGTTCTAATGCTCTAAGCGCAGAGGGGACCGTGCTTTCTCTGCTGCCGCCCCTAAACTGTGGAACGACCTGCCCTTGCTAATCAGACAGGCTCCCACACTGTCTGTTTTTAAATCCCGTCTTAAAACCCACCTCTTCTCCTTAGCATTCGGAAACAAGTAGATTGTTGCTTTTATTTGCTTTCAGTGGTCTATTGTTTTTATTATATGGCTGTTTTATTTTATTTATTTATTTTAATCATTATGTTTATTCTGGTTTGTTTTGTGTTTGTATCTTTTATTTTAAATGTATTTATTTTATGTTTTGTGAGCTTATCTCCTTGTACAGCACTTTGGTCTCAAAGTTTTTAAAGTGCTATATAAATAAAGTTGGATTGGATTGGATTGGAAATGTAAATACGACCGTTTACGCAGATACATACTAGTAAGTATGATTTGCTTTATATTTTTTGTAAACTGAATTCATATGTATATAATCATTACTAATGTAATGTTTCTGAAGACCATTAAAATCAAATTCTTCCAGGTTTGATGACGCCTCAGTCCAACAACAGCAGCCCCCGCTGTGGATCTGACGTCAGGTGGAGGGGCTTTAAGAGGGTCTAAAGCAACACAGGGACTCCAGTAAAGCTAGGGCAGTCTTACACAGGTTTAAATATCCTAATCTGGGAATTGAAAATAAAAGTAGTTTAAAGGTCAAAGATGGGATCAGGTAAGAGTAAAACAGGGGAAAATATGTTGTCTGGGGATGCAAAATTATTGAAAGAGAAGGATGAAAGGAATATAAAAAGGTTAGAAAACTGTCAAAGGAACTATAATTTCACGGGAAGACTAGGGGTAGAGGAATGTGAGGGATATTGTCAAATATCTGGAACAAACTACCAGAAACCTGCAGGTCTGCTGCAACTCTTTTAAATCCAGGCTGAAGACTTTATTTTTGCCGCTACTTTTAATTGAACTATTCACATCTTACACTGCACTGTAACTTGTATTCATGTACCTGTGTTATTCATGTTTTATTATCTTTGCTTTTTAATGTTTCTAATGTGCAATGCTCTTAATGTCTTTCATTTTTGTAAAACACTTTGAATTGCGTTGTGTTGAAAAGTGCTATATAAATAAACGTGCCTTGCCTAAAGCTTGAGTGAGCTGATATTTGCATCAAAGAATTGCAGTAATATTTAGTCCAGACAAACTGTGTGTGTCAACAGCTTACATATTTTTTGAGGTTTAAAAACATATGGTTAATGCTGAATTGTAAGTTTGGCTTCATGTTTATATGCCCATATTTACCTCTGAGTTTACTTTCTCTTTTACCTATGACCCCTCAGGTGAGGCTGAGTTCATGTTAATGTCTGCGGTAACAGACAATGAGACTCGAGGCCCCTGGGCACAGACATGCAAATGCCCCCTCCACCTTCCCTAAATGAGCAAGGGGGTGCTAGTGAATTAATTTCAGTTTTCCGCACTCTCGCGGGAGTGTCATTATTGTCTCACTACTACTATTACTATTACTACTACTATTACTATCACTACTGTCATTATTAGGCTGTAATTTGTTATATACTGTTGGAATGGGTAAGCAGGCCTATTGTTTTGGGATATTTGTGGAGTTAGGTGGTCCATGAGTGTTTTTTATTGGTTAAGTGGTCCTTGGTATGAAAAAGTTTGTGAAAAAATGCGCTAGTGCAGGGGTTTTCAAAGTGTGGGTAGGTCAGCCTCCCCTCAGAGAACATAAGAACAGCCGCGCCCCCCCCTCCCAATTATTATTGCTGTTATTATTATTATTATTATTGTTGTTGCTNGTTAATTAAGATTAATTAATTACACAAAAATTAACGCGTTAAAAAAATTAACGCATTTTAATCGCACTTATTTTTGCACCGCGGAACGTCCAGTGAGAAACGTTCCGCGGTGCAAAAATAAGTGCGATTAAAATGCGTTAATTTTTTTAACGCGTTAATTTTTGTGTAATTAATTAATCTTAATTAACGCGTTAAAGTCCCGGCCCTAAAAAAAACTCATGATTGGAATAAAAACAACGGGCCAACTTGAAGACCAACATAATTATTAAATTATAATTCATATGTATTATTAATATGATATCTGATTAATTTAGTAGAGACATTTCAAGTGTAAATGTTTGTCGTTTATCAATCTGATCAAGGCAATGGATCGGTTTTCCTTATTGGAATATTACTACATCAATAAAAATCCTGGATTATATATTAACCAGCGGTGGAAGAAGTGTTCCGATAAAAATAGTATCAGCATAAAGTAACTCAAGTTCCTCGTGGTATCTTTTTCTGGAGTTTTGAACCAAGTTAAGCGTTTACTGTATTGTACTGTTATTATGGTACAAAAAAACTTTAAAAAGCATATAGATATTATGATATTTAGGCCAAAGTAATGTGATTCTGATTTTACTAGATCATCATATTTTATTCTTAAATATTGCACATAAGTGTAGACTTTAAGTAAACAATTAAATATAATGTTAAAACTGATCAACAATATTATATTACATAACAAATCAATGATTAGTGAAGTTTTAGGTGGTTATACTACAGTACTTGAGTAAATAGTGACTGTCAGCCAGTGTGAATGTTGACCTCATCTGAACCAAGCTCTTGAAGAAACAAGGATTGTGATTCAGCCATAGGGTTCAGCTCAGAGGGCGATTGGTAAATGAGGTTGTTGGTTTGCTTTCAGGGGTCAGCTAACTCTAAGCTATAGAGGACTCCTGATCCTCTTTAGCTTTTAGCATCATCTTCACGGTTATCCTGTATATGTAGGTCAGATGGTTAACCATCCCTGTGTAAATAATGGCGGCACGAGTTCAAGTATTACCTAAGCATGACATGTATGTATAATAAAGATGATTAACCCTTTAACTACCAGACCAAGAAAAAAGCTATGGAAAAATTATTTGTTTGCATTTTTTTTTATCAAATGGGACACAAATAACCACAAACAAATTTTTTTAACTGACCAGACAGTTTGGTTTTTATGAGCCTCTACCAACTGGTCGAGCTGGCCTTTCATGGTAAAAGTGTACTTTCAACAATCATCATATACAGTACAGTATTTGTATGCATCAAACTCAAATAAAACACAAACTGAAATACATTTTTTTCTTTTATGGAAAATGAGCATATAAAACCAGATATATTCATAAAAGATAATAAATTATAATTGTAAAACAAAAAGAAATGGAAAAAAGTAATGTTAAGTGTTTTTCATAATAAAAAAACTTTGGGCTGTATGCCATGCATGAAAGGTGCTATATAAATTATTATCACTCTTTCACTCTGAGACTCATAAGGCAGTACTCGATTTAGTAATATTACCATGAATCTAGCCATTTATTTACCATATCTTATTGGAAAACATCTCTGAAACTCTGAAAAAGTCATATTGCTAGTTTACCATATGGCCAATTAGACCGATTGGTTCAGCATATTTTCAAAAAAATAATTACACCCTTGTTAAAAAAAAATGTGTGCATCAAGTTATCTATGTTCAGTCAGTGCTCTGACACTAAAATATGTCAAAAATGATATGGTTACCTTGACCAAAAAGTGTGATTTCTTCAGCAGTGATTTTTTAGCATGCTAACTTTCTCAGTGGAGGCTAGCTGGAGGGCATTCCGTTCGAACCAAAGTGACATCTAGAGGTTGTTTTGTGCATAACATGTCAACCAGATGGTAGAGCTGGCTGAATCAAATGGAGTTACACTTTTTTATTTTTTTTTCAACAAAATATCAAGACACAAAATGTGCTCTACCAAATTGTGGCGCTGGCTGTTAAAGGGTTAAGCTGCTTATTTTTGCCAATGAGTAAATGGCTGTTTGTTAGAAATGTGTTACTAAAAGAAAACATAATCTTGCAGATGTAGAAAATGGACCCTTTACCCTCTTGTGATTTGTGGTTGAGATAAATGAAAAAACACATTAAATATACAGAAACCAATATTTTATAATAAATATGGAGGAGGAAATATGTTCTGTGAGATCTAGTACCCTGTACCTATTATCATAACCTTTTTTTAGGGAAATAATAACTGTATTATGTCCAATAAAGCAGCAAACAGTTTTTCTCTGTTACCAATATAATTCTGGCTTTTGAAAGTAACAAAGTATAATAAAGTTATTCAGAAGTATTTTTTATTACACATTTATACCATAAGAGATGTTATTTCCCATCAACAGCTTACTTACTTTTGGAAGAAGGCCTAAGCACTGATGAGCTATATAACATGAGTTAGTTTTACAAAGAGAATTCTAAGTAGTCAGACCTTTATCATTGTCCAACACTGGGTGTTATACTGAATACCCCTAATGTTTCTAGAAAATTATAAGTGTAACAAACAGCCCTGCTTTGAAGCGCACAGGAGTGCACGAGCGACTCATTCCGTGCGCAGGTGAGATTTGTGCTGGAATGTGTGTGAAAAGGAGAGCGAGGCCTCACCTGTTGGGAGTGTATAAAACAGGGAGGCACGGTGAAAGGGGGTGGGCGGGGTTAGCTCCATTTTCTCTGTATGTCCCGAAAAGTTTGCAACAAATCAGTGGAGTCAGATTTAGCAGGCGCGCGAGGGTGCACCTGTTGGGAAAGTAACTCACCTGCGCTTTACCTCGGATTTACCATTTCATTCAAAATGCGTCAATAAGTATAGAGCTGACCAGTCGTAGCTGCGTTTTAACTTATCTATAATCATGAGGAAGGGTCTGAATTTTCTGGGTCGGAAGAACCAGTCTCTTTTCGACACCAATACCAAAATGAAGGACATGGGTGAGTACAATGTGAACAGAGCCCATTGGCTATATAGAGTTAGTCCTCACTTTAAACTTTTACTGAAGAGCAACACGACCTTTGTACCAGATGTTGTCATGGACAGAAGTGTTAACCACGAAGCTCCCATTTGTACAGCTGTTGGTCCTAAAGGAAATCACAACAGTATTTTGGTATTTTGCAATGACGTGATGAATAGGCAGCAGCAGGTGAAATCAAGATAATAAAAACCTGTTCTCAATGGTAAAGTCCAAGTCTGGCTCCACACTGACCTGTCCTCTGTCCTCTACACATTGTGTTGACTTAGTGTGCCTTAGTGTCGCCCTAACAATGCTTTGAGGAAACAAGGGTTTTGTTTTGGAGTTTATAAACTCCAGTCAAGTGGAAACATTGGTGTAACTGAATATCTCCCTGACCCAGCACTCTGAAATGTGATTTATGTCTAAAACATTTCGTCTCACTGCTCGTGTTTAACACATTTGTACTGCTGTTCTGACCTGCCTCGGTGGAGTTTATGTGAGTCAGCTATCATTTTAGATACACAACAAAATGATGATTGATGATGAGGTGATTGGGATCATCACATACAATTACTGTCAGTAAAATATTGTGAAAACAATGTTATGACAATTCAAATGAATTAAAATATCTGTTGTTATACTATTTACTATACTACTATTTTGTACTATCATACATTGATTAAGAAATACATTATTTATTTAAGAGAATTGTAAAACAAAAAACATAACAGCATATTTATATGCAATAACAACACAGCACTCTGTATTTGCTGAAGGAGACCATGAGATAAAAGATCTAGAAAAAGATAGTAAGTGGACCTTGGGCTTAGTTCTTACTTTGCCAAACTATAGCAAATCAAATGTCTAAAATTAAGATCATATTTACATACTCCTATGGCTTGTGTGGTATCAGTTCAAGCAGGAAACAGGAAACAGGAGGGATTAATATGCAAAGCCGTAATATGAGAGGGAATATTTGTTAATTTAAATAAGACAGGTGCACAATAGGGAAACTTCACATTTGGTTAAACTGGTTGGACATGAAAATCAATTCTTCCTGTTGTTTTTCATTCTGAATTGATTGCTTTTGAAGTGACAGCATCATACTGTATGTTTTAAAGTGCATACACATCACAGGGGGAACATGAGTAAAAGGTCAATCCTATTAAGTAAAGTAAAACACTTTGCTGTCTTTGTTTATAATGTGTAGCTCTGAACAGCAGACTAAGTGCCTTTGAGTGACAAGTTTCTTTCAACATTCACTTATTGGACAGAGAAGATGACTGACGTGGAATGAGCAGTGAAGGAGTGCGCGACTTGTACATTTATTTTCTCAAACCAAGCGTGGAGACCTCGAGTATTATCAGTCAGTTTAGCAGAATGGTTTCTTATTGTTTCACATCTTAAGCTGGATGGGGATGAGTTTAGTGATTGCCTTGGTCTCGGTGCCCTTTCAAGTCAACCTTTCACCTTTGGGCCTCTAAGTAAGATCTCAAACACAAATGTTAAGAAAAAGACCAACAGACCATTTTTTTAGCATTTCCACAAAACATTGAAGAATGATATCAATATCCCATATCCACTTTGACTTACACATGCAGGATCATTAAGCTCTGCTCTTGCAGTACAAACAATAAATATTTAAAGAACTTCAAAAGCAATACACATTCATATTTAGCCAACCAGTTCTTTAAAAAAAGTTAAAGTAGTGTAATTTAAGCTCAATTTATTCAAATAAATGCTAACCTTTACATTTTACACACTAGTGAAATATAAACTAAGATTACAATCGTTTGTTCAGCTGCCAGTAACTATATATTTTTCAACAACACTACCTTTACAGCACATATGATCACACTGTAACTACTAAGAGTCCACTTTGGTGCATATCTCATCACCTGCACAATGACCAATTCATTGTAAAGTATTTGGCTCTGTTGGTCTGTGTCTTAGACCAACCACATTGCCCAAATATTCACATAGTATTGAGCAATGCAATGGCTTAAATCATCAACTGAAACCCACTTTGCTCACTAAGGACCCGCCACAACATAGTAATCTGTTTTGTTTTTTATTTACTCAGACAATGTGGAGCTGGTGCTGGAGTCATCAGCGATCCCCGAGTCGGGGACTGCCAGTGTGCGGGCCAGACCCACCGTCAAGCATCATGCTGTGAGTATCTCAGTAAAGCTTCATACGTGTATTGTACATATTCACAATTTTCAGTTTCCTGAATGAAAATATCATATGATATGCATCTGAGCAGACTCTCCCCCGTCCGTCGTTTACCTGCAATTAAATGATTACTGAATATTGTAGTCTGTATCTGCAGAGCTGGAAATATTCAAATGAGCTGATAAAGAACGTTTATTGTTTGACTGGATTGGAATCTGGGTCGGATCTTTAACAAGCACAGGCCAGGGCGCTACCAAGTCATTGTTAATCAATCATTTACTATTTTGTCAGAATAGCATTGGTGTTTGGTGAGTCGGATTAAACTGACAACTGACGCTTTTCTTATAAAGTGTTTGTAGTATGGCTGTGAACAGTGATGTAACTCATAATGCGATTTTAGTCCAAAATGTTTTTCTTAATTGAAATGCTATTACCATCCAGGTGCATTACAAAGCATACTGTAAGACAAAAGCTCATTTATAATAATAAAAACAGTCCCATAAGCTTTAAACTTGCATTCAGGGTAGTTTTCAAAATGGACATTTGAAATTATTGCAAAAACATTGTGGTTGATACATTAAATATAAACGGCCACATTTGGTTTTAGTATATTAATAATAAAGTATCACAAGTTGTGGAAAGTAACTAAGTACAATAAATAAGTATTGTACTTAAGTACAGTTTTTACTTTACTGAGTAATTTATTTAGATTCTACTTTATACTTCTACTCTAATGCATTTAAGAGTTAAATATTGTTCACTCACAAGGGCCATTCTGCAGCATAATGAGCCCTTTAGTTTTGTATAATCCTTTGTTGATAATAGTTTTATAAATTCAAGTACATTTTTTATTGCAGGAATTTTATTATGTTCTCTTTGTGGCATTGATACCTTCACTTAAGTAATGATCCAAGTGTTTCACCTCTGTGCATAAGTGTAGATATCCCAATATGCTGAGTTAGTTTAATTTGTAAGTGGTTCGGGAAGATTCACCTTAACTTGTATCAGCCTGAATGACTGTCATGCCTCCCATTATATCGTCATGGTGCATATAAAGCGCTCATCTCTGCTATGGTTCACACACCTCAGAGTTTGGGAGTGTTCTGTGACGGTGTCTGAGGCATGTGTTTGGCGTGACACACCCAGCACATGGGCAGGACAGCTGAGGCTGCTGTGACAAATGAAAGTGAGTCACAGTTTAGGGAACAAAGAGACAAAATCAATCTGGATCATACGCCATCTTTAGAGACACGCCCTCAACCTGTGGCGCAGTCTTCATACCTTTCCAAGAAACCACATAAATGCCCTGCGAGTATTAGCCAAGAGAAAGATTTAGGGTGTGATATCAGGCAAATGTCAAAGTTATTCTAGTATCGAATGCAAACATTAAAAGGGCTGAAAAGCAGTTTAACCGCAACTATAAGAACCTTATTCATTACCAGCCTAAGGAATAAGTATGTTTTTTTAATTCAAATTGGTGTAAGCTTGTTTCTCAATTGTAATAGCAAATTACTCAGAGCCTAGAAACAAAAGGTACAGCAGATTTCTTTCTTGTCTCTGAAAGGATTTTGGTTTGCCCCTTCGAAGGGCATACAGTATACCAGTTAACTCACATGGACATTTATTGTGTCAACACTGTGTGTGTTTAGTTTTGTTGCCATGTTGGAAACAGGCCTCTAATTGACAGCCCACAATTTTTGCAGCCTGGCCCATATTAACAGTAGGACAATGTAATTAATAATAGGTGTATCCTATGAATCACTTGGTGCTCCTCATAACTAAAGTATGTGGAAGAGTGCTGTACAATTAAAACAATTGAAATATATATCATTTTAAATCAGATTCATACATGTGGTAAAATAATAATTAAAAAAGCATTAATGAAAATATAAGGTTCCTCATAATACCCATATTAGAGCCTTGTTGTATTAATAGCAAATGGGACATGCAAATCTGTTTCGAAGGGACATTGAGGGCTGTTCTCAATTGCTGAGAACTGGTTTGTTCACTCAAGGAGCGAATACTCCCAGTACAAAAACAAAAACAACGTTTCTAAGTGCCTCTTTATTTTGTTTCTGTTATTAATCCATTCTTGTTTTCTGTGTTGAACTTGTTGAAATATCAACAGTTTAACGTTTTTTCCCCCTCACAGTCCACATCTGACAGTTTTCAAGGATTTGCCGTCCCGACACCCAAAGTCCCCCTCCTCCCACCGATCAATGGTCCAAAGACCAACGGCTCAAGTGAGTGTCTACCTACTTCAAATATGTACATAATCTTGAAGAATTTCATTATTTACTCTTTGATGGACTCAGATCACTTGCGGTGCCTTTACTCAAACTAAGTTGATGGATTGCAGCAATCAGAAAGTCGCCGTAAAGTGTTAAAAAAAAAAAGAAGCAGGGCAGGTAAATGTTTGTCCAGGCTGTTGCTCAATAACCCTCCTGAATGTGTCTCAACTGCCTTACCAGATGGCAAGATTGTTTACAAAATGGGAGTGTTTGTCGTAGAAGGAGGGGGAAGTAATTCATTTAATATTATCGAAGCATTCTAAATTTATGTGTGATTAATACACAACTTAGTTATTTTCATCATTAAACGTTGATTCTTCCTGATCTACTTTTTGAAACTTGTTTTTGATAAACCGTTGTATAAAACTTTTGTATAAAATGTAAGCACATCATTGCATCCATGTTTCTTAATTATTCTAATTACTCTTACAGAATGTATATTCTTGTAACAATGTTTTAAGTGTTCTCTTAGTGTACACTTTCTCAGTTATTCTCTATTCTTTACACAGTTGGTGGACATCACCTTTCCAATGGATCTGTTATATCTGTGCCCGACCTTGTGGAGGGGGAAGTATTTGTTCCTCCTCCCCCTCCCTCAATGGCGCCTCCACCCCCTCCACAGACTTTTGTCCCTCCTCCACCAGACTTCATGGGCGACCTGAACACTCTAAATTTGGCAAAACCGTCCTCACTGGCACCCTTCGCGGATGAAGAAGACTTTACCTTCATTAAACCGCCACCAATGGCTCCGCCAAAGCCTCCATCTACTTGCTCTTTATCATCTGTACCCATTTCTAGCCCTTCGCCAGGCAACCTACCTGAGTGCCCAGCTTTTGCCCCACCTCAGCCTCCTTCTGAAAAGGCACTTAGGTCTCTTAAGAAACCACCTGAAAAACCCATCAGACTGTCCTCTATGTTCAACTTTGACTCCCCACCACAGAGCCCTGCCCCACCTCCCCGTGTGCAGAGAGCAGCAGTGTCCAGTTTCAATCCCAGAAACACAGCAAAGCTTTACAATGTTCCTCAGCCCTCAATTCTCAGCGGGTATCAGGAACATGACCCAAGACCAAAGCAGATGTTACTCCTGGAAGATTCTGCATCTGTTGACTCTGCTCAAGTGCTTGTTGCGGTGGAAGGGAAATCCCCTAAATTGGCCACACCGTCCAAACCAGTTCTCAAAGAAGTACAGGAACTGAAAGAGTCATTACACATAACCCAAACCCCTTCACCACGCCTGCCTGAGCCAACAAAGGAGGCTAAAGCAGCGATAGTTCTAACAAAGCCAGACATTGGCAAATCTCTCCAGCCTCCACCTCAGACTTCACCACAGCTTCAGAGACCAAAGGTTTCTCAGGTGAATTCAGAGACAGTCAACGACAGACTTGAAGAATCTCCAAGTCAAAGTCGCAAATTCAAATACAGTCCGTTAATAGATCGCAAACTACGCAGCCTGAAGAGTAATGAATCTAACGGGGCACGAAATGGACCTGTAGCCTCGCCACTGGCTCTTTTGAAGGCGGCTAAAGACAGAGATAAACACAGATCGAGTCACACTCTGTCACGGGAAAACAGCAGCAAGTCACATCAGGAGCCTAGTGCAATCATTCAACCGAGTGACTCAAGTCCCAATTCCTTTATCGTCAGCCCAAGGTCAAGCTCAACTTATTCTCCAACATCTCCAGAAAGATTGCAGGAGAGTTCAAAGTCCGTCAATCCTGTGGTACATATGCAAACTATTCAGGGTCCAGAGAAACCCAGCAGCCCTGCTCTGGTCATAGATCAAACGCTATCCAGAAGTTCAGTGCTCAATAGGATGGCTGCATCTGCAAATAGGACCAACCTGGTTGAGCAGAAACAACATGCAGTGCAAACCCCTTTAAAGTCTCAATCCACACAGCCTGAGGAGTTAAATATGACACTACTCACTCCACCGCCAGAGTTTGATGACTTTGACGATTTTGACGATTTTATGGAACCCCCTCCTTCCATGCCTCCACCTGACCCTCCCGTGAAAAAGGCACCAGCACCAACACCAGCACCAACACCAAAACCACCAACAACACCACCACCACCACCACCACCACCAAAAAAGATCCCTCTACCTCCATCTCAAGTTCCACCTCCTCCTCCAAAGGCCAAACCCCCACCAGCTCCAAAACTCCCACCTCCTGACATTGATGCAAAGCCAAAGCTGCAACCCCAGACCAAACTAAAAGCCGTCCCTCCTCAGCTACCATCTAATCTTTCACCCAGCCAGGCCACACTACAGAGCATCTTACAAAAAAAGATGTTGGAAATGGACCACAAAATGGCCACAGTGAAGGAGACAGCGTCCAGTTCTGATGACTGGGGTGCCCCCTTGCCCGAGGAGGACTATAAGGTCCCTGTTGTCCCCAGAGCCCGACCACAGAGCACGAATTACCCTGTGGTCAACAAAGTACCAACCCTAAACATGCAGGAGCTGGAGGATAAATTGGTCAGAAAATATCAGGAGTCTTCCTCAATGAAAGTTCCCACCAGGTAAAATATGGCAATTTTTTCCTCGAGACAATAAGCCCAGTGTTTGTGTACAGTATAAATTCATAATCATTCATTTGTTGTTCTTTTCAGCAACGGAACGCAGTCAAAACATCAGTATGGTATGACCTTTACAGTTCGGCCTGGAACCAAACAGCCCATAACCCTCGTCAGTAAAGGGGAGCCTTAATGTGTTAATGGGAAAGTGGTTCTTGTGTTAAGCACAACTGTGTGTGATTGGATAATGTGACCATGCATCATAAGTACAATGTGGGGGGGGAGGGGGCACTTTGAACAAATGTGGTTAGCAAATACGTTAAGAATGTTTTATAACAACGGTCTTCTCAGTTCTGAATGTTCTCTAAAGGTATTTCTCAATTTGGAGGACGCACTTTCAATGTCAAATGTTTTGGTTTTGTATTTTATGTTTTTAAAGTATCAGTCTGGTGGACAATTTATTTTAGCTGCTGCTGTTTAATCAGCGTAGATGTATATATTCCATACACATAAGTTAGAATTAGTGCCAATGGCAGAATGGTTAAATTCACAAGACAATATTCAAAGTTATCCAAAGCTGAGTGAAAATAAAACATCTGAATAAAGTCTGACAGATGTATCCGTAATCTTGATTATATAATACAAAAATAATGTACAGTACAATTATTGTGGTTCATGCTGTAGTCGCATGTCCAATAACAGAAATGTTCTTTCACTGTTACATGTACAATATGCTAGGTCCTCTGGGGTGAAGCAAACAGCTAATTCAGACAAGTGTGTTTCAGTTGGATTGTTTCTCATATTTATTGATCCAGGAAATGTTTTTCCCTCTGAGTTATTTGACTGTAAAATGGGTGTTTATGCATCTACACTCATGCTGTAAATATATCAGTTTATATATTAATAACTTAAAATATGTAAGATGCAATTGTATGTACATGTTAAGGTTGTATAATCAAAGTATTTAAAATAGAGGTTATAAAGTCTTAAAACAGAGACGTTCATCTATTCCAAATGTTGTCCAAAAACTAACTGGAAAATAAATTCAAGCATTAATTGGATGTCTGGTGGAGTTTTGTTGTGCCATTTTTAAGCGTTTGTTTGGACGTCTTATTCGAGAAAAGACAAAGATGACTGCTTTTGAGTTTGCATATGAAAAAAACTGGTAGACAGAACAGTGGATAATATAGTAATTGGAGATTAAGGATTCAAACATAACATTTTTAACCTAAAATATGTTAAATCTCTTTTTTCATTCTCCGTCTTAAGCTAGTAAAGTTCTTTCAATATTCTTCTCATTGCAATTGTTAGTATTAAGCCATTTGTTAAATGAATTGCATCTTCATATTTATATGTTGGCTCAAACTTAACTTTGTAAAGGCAATGAAAGATATTTAATATAAAAAGGTGGTCAGATTTTGGTCAAGTCTTTTCTTCACTTTCGCCACAAAACATGGAGCTGGTGTCATGTGAATAAGAGCATCTCAGACCGGCTTATGTCAGACCACAGATTAGCAATGAGAGCCAATGACCTGCCACTCACTTTGAAAACATGTAATCTTGTTAACTTCTGAGCTACTCGCCCACACAACACACTACCCTCATTTGACACACCTGTTCATTTGGGATTTTAGTGCCTTTTCCATTAAAAAAGCATTATATTAAAGATGTCTTATTCTCAATAACTTGTGTCATGTATTATACGAGGGCTTATTTTATAGCATATTAGTATCTTTTTGGATCATTACAAATCAAACACTTCATGTTTCTTTCAGTATGCAGTTAATGGCTAAATATTAGTTATAATATGGTATAATCCTCAAACACATTGTTTAAGTCTTCATCCCCACAACTGTTCCTTCCTAAAGTCTTGCTGATGTCCACATGTAGTAGATAAAAAGGAAAAAGAAAGAAGTGTCAAATGCTCTTGGTTTTACATCAGGACGTTACCTTTAATGTAAAATTATGCAAATACAAATGGGTTGCCTTAAGTGTAATTACACATGGAAATGCTATACAGTATGAAGGAAGTGGATAGAGACAGCCATTATAGAGAAACTATTGCTCTACCAGGTCGGGATCAGCAGAGCAATAGTCCAAATATTCAGCAATTATCTGGAGTACTAAATGACAATTACAAACTTTAATCGATATTGCCTGACGTTTTAGACACGCATGGACGCCCCCTTAAAAAAATAGGGGGGTAAGTACTCATCTTGATACATGCTCTTTCCAAGGTATGTGAGCATTGGGTTTAAGAGGAAGAGTTTAGGGCTTTAGCGGCCGGATCCACCGTGTGGTGAAGCACGAGGTGATCCCAGCCTACGGTTGTAAGGGTGTTGGAGCCATCGTGGAGCCAACAAACACCTTTGACAAAGTCCTGGTGCCGCCGATCTCTAAGTCTAAAGAGGAAGAAGAAATGATTACTTAAAACTGGGCAGTAATTCCATATCACAATCTTGAGATAGAAATAACATCGTCTTAATCAATAATAACAAGCAAATACTACATTAACATTTTTCATGTGATCTGATATAAATTACTTTGAGAGAGTGTCATTTAAAGATTGTGGTTTTTGCTTTTACATCCCATTAAAAGGACCAATGATTACCAAGCATGACCAAACAATTCCCCTGCATTTCTCATAGTATCCGCTGGAAGGTTTTTTCTCTATAATTCCACTAAAACTTGTTGATTTTGCACTTCAATTCCTAATTACTTAATTTAACACTCATACTAATTCACACAGGCAAATACAATTATTGTTATGTAGACATCTAAACTGGGATAGAACATTTTGGACAAATTGCAAAGCCCCATAATTATGTATTTTTAATTGATTACATTTTTTTGATTGACTTAATTCTTAGTATGAAGTTAAAGAACTCACATTTCTTCCAGGTTGGAGTTCATGACAGCAAGGGAACAATCATCACTTATGGAGGCTAGCAGGGGGGTACTGGGAGGGGAACAAATTTGTTAAAACTTTGTAGAGGAGCAACATAAGAGCTAATAAAACTGTTAGAAATCAGAGTTACCTGTGTGTAGAGAAGGCCAGCCCATTAACTCCGCGGCTGTGAACGCTCACTAACTGGGCCGGCTCTGTTCCCAGGAAGTCCTTCATGGTCACTCTACCCAGCGCATCACCTGAGGCACAATAAAAAGGATCAGAACCACAGAGGCTGCCAAATAAATGTCTCATTCAATCAGTAACCTGCTGCTGGAACTTACCAAATGCAATGGTGCTCCTGTGGTGGGGGTGCCAGACGACAGTGGTAGGGGAGCAGATTGACTCGACATCTGAGACAAACACAAAATCGACAATGGAATATGCATTATATCAAAAATTGCTTAAGATGTACTTCCATTAATTAAGCTGGACAGACTATTATAATGCATTTCAACTGCGTACGGTACAACTCTACTCAGCACGACTTGGTCTTTTCGGTTTTCCGTTAAGGGAAAGTTATAGAAAGTACCTAGTACTTTTTTTGGTACCGCCTCGATCAAGGTTCCAAGCATGCTGAGCGTATATCCAATCTGATATAACTGTAAATTAATTAAAAACTCTCCCATCGATAGGTTTGATAACAAAAAACCTTGCGCCTCTTGCTTATCAGTGAGAATGATAATGTAAGACATTATTAGGATGAGATATAGTAGCTTTTAGACTGAGAATATATAAAAAGGTAGTTGGATAGCTAAATGTTTGATTAAATAGTACAGCAAAAAAGTCACTTTCACACATTCCCTGATCTTGACAGAGATATGCTCAGACAGAGTGCCCAGAGTGTGAGTGGGTGAACTATTAAGTACAAACCGCAGATTTTAAGAAATAGCAGCCTAGGAAACTATGCCAAGCACGAGAAAACATTTGAAGTAAGTTTGAATGGTACCAAAAGTGAGTCGAGTCGAGCAATGACAATATGGCATTAGACTTAGGGATCAATAGACGCCAGACGAAGGCTTGTTAGCTCAGCCAGACAACATGGACTATCTAGATTGTTAGACATTTGTCTGTCAGCGATACTATTTTCCATTGTAGCACCAACAAAAAATCCTGTTTCGTCAATAACCTGTCAAAAATATCAGGAGCTGTTTTTTCAAACTGGGACGTGTTGCTCACCTATTCTTGAGGCTGGTTTGTCTGGCTTCCTCCTGTCCCACATCAGCACACGGCCATCCTGAGGGAAAGCCGATAACAACAGGTTGAGTTTGACTGAAGACAAGTTTAGACATGAAATGATCTCTCTGCACTTCATTAATGCAGGACTTTAATTCACAGCATTAATAGTATCATAACAAAAGATGAAACATCATGCTCAAGATGTAGTTTAGGCAGACAATGTTTGTTAGGTGTTGTGTTCACAACAATATGTCCCAACTGAAGATCAGTATCATACCTGACCACAGGAGACGAAGATAGACTCATCTGTCGGACTGCAGGCAACACAACTGACTGGCTGCGTGTGCCCTGGAGGAAGAAAAAAGTGGGGACAGGTATGGCTTTTACCATCTTTATGAATGAACATTTCCTTTTTTTAAATTAGGGCTGTCATTTTTTAATTGTTTTATTACTGGTCACATGGACACAACTACACGTCCGTCTTGTTATACAATGAAACTTCTTGTATTTCAGAGAAAAGCAAACAGTTAACAGTTCTTAAAAACTAACTGAACATTATTTTCAAATAACATTTCTAGTATATAGATTTCTGAGAGCAGTTTTGAGATGTTCCTTTACCATGGTAGGTAGTAAGGGCCATATCCTGAGTGAGATCCCAGACTTTAATTCTGCAGTGAACAACAGGGGAAGAGATGCATTGTTATTAGAGCTGCAACAACAATAAGCACCAATTATTTTTGAAAATGTGTTAAATGTTTATTTAAATGTTATTGCAAAAATGTCAGAAAATGCTTTTCAATATCGAGATGCCTTCTCTTTTATCCGTTTCATATCATATTTAACTGAATAACGTTTTGGGTAAAAAAAGACATTTAAAAAAGACATAACCAATGATTAGTCTAGAAAATACTATACAGATGAATGAATAATACAAAATAATTGTTACAGGCAGACCTTATTGTGTTAAGAAAGTGAGAGAAAAACAGTGAAAAAAATCCTAATGCCAAAGTTTTACAGATCATCAGTCAACATGTTTCTGTTCTGGATGTGTGCGTGTACTTAGAAAAAATGATGTCTCACCGACAGTCCATGCTTCCAGTGACAGCACCACTTCCTCCACTGATTGGGCTCACTGTTGTGACAATGTGGTCATGCTCATGTTTGGTGAAGCGATTCACTAGCAGGCGTTCATCCTCTGCTAATTCCCAGAGCTCCAAGGCACCTGAGAAGGAACCAATTCAATGAACTCTAGTTAAGCACGTTAAGACGATTGCTTGATTCGTAACTGCTGCAAATGTTTTTCTTACCTGAGTCTGATGCAACAAGAATACCCTTTTCTGATACCCATTTGACATCTGTGACTCCAGCCTCAGTTTGCACACCAGCTTTGCAGAGTCCCTCATTGGGGGCCTGCTCAGGGTCGCTGTAGATCCAAACAGATCCCTGCCAGTTTCTGCCAGAGAGGCTAGAGGCACCGAGCAGGAGAGTGCCATCTGTGAAGAGAGCCAATAAGGAAAAACATTACAAAAAAGAAAAAAAAAACATAATTCTAGGCCACAGACAAATAAAATGACTTGTTAACAGTCACTATGTTCAAAAATGGCTAGCCTCCAATTCACAGAGTAGTTAATATTCAAGCTTTACATTGCAATGGGTTTCTCAATAACGAGCCACCTGCAACCACTTATAAAGAATCTCGCTGACCTAAAAAAAAAAACATTCATTAAAAACAATGAAATGTATATTGTTTATACACCTAATCACGAGGAGAGGGAAGCCTTCATATCAGTGCATACGCACATATACTCAATAATAATAATAATAACTACGTAGCGGCCCCACGTGTTTACCGGTGTACATTTCAACTAGCTTGCCTCTCACCTGCTCTGTACTGCGCGCAGCTCAGATGCTTCTCCATGCACGCTG